GGGAATATCTACAGTTTTATTATCAGTAAGTCTTGCTCGCTCAAGAATATCTGCAACATATTTCTATTGAGAAAGAAAATAACCTCTGGGTAAGCAGGCTACCTCAATACCCAAGAAATATCGTAGAGAACCCAAATCCTTCATTTCAAACTGTCTAGCTAACTCTGTCTTCAAAACTGAAATATCATTACTATCATCACCAGTAATAATTATGTCATCAACATATAAAGACAGAATGATACGACCTGCATCAGTGCACTTAACAAAAAGAGCAGAATCATGACTACTAGAAGTAAACCCAAGGGAAGAGATCACAACAGAAAATTTCTCAAACCAAGCACGAGGTGCTTGTTTGAGACCATATAACGCTTTCTTGAGCTTGCAAACATACCCAAAATCATGTGAAACACCAGGAGGGGGAGCCATATAAACTTCTTCTTGAAGATCCCCATTCAAGAAGGCATTTTTAACATCAAGTTGAGAGATATGCCACTAACGAACCGAAACAACTGCAATAAGAGTACGAATAGTAGTCATTTTTGTAACAGGAGCAAATGTCTCCTCATAATCCATACTATACTGTTGACAGTACCCTTTTGCAACCAACCTAGCTTTGTATCGCTCAACAGATCCATCAGAATTGGTCTTAATTTTATACACCCACCGACAACCAACAACACTCTTACCAGGAGGTAGAGGAATCAAATCCCAAGTACCTGTCTTATGCAAAGCAGAAAGTTCCTCATCCATAACTTGCTGCCAAAGAGGGTCAAGAATTGCCTCTTTATAGGAAGAGGGCTCAGAGAGACAATGAATAGAAGCTAAAAAGGAAGTAAAAGATGAAAAATAACAAGAATAAGTAAAATCTGGTAACTTTGTGGACTTACGAATGCGTGTGGATTGACATAGAGGTAGATCTACAATCTCAGACGAAGCTTGAGGGACCATAGGAGAGGAGGTAGTTTCAGGTGTGCTAGAGAGTAAAGTGTCAGTACCTGTAGAATGATCAATGCTGCTATTTGAAGTATTAGAAACCTGAGATGACAAACTATCAGAATCCTCAGAAAAAGGATCTATACGCGAATAAGATCAGATCTAGTCAAGCTATAAGTAGTGGGTGGAATAGAAAAGAAAGGTATATGCTCAAGAAAAATAACATGATGAGACAAAGTTTTTGAGTTATTGGATTAAAATAACGATACCCCTTTTTACCTTCACCATATCTAAGAAAGACATAAATAGCAGATCGAGTGGATAGCTTGTTGGGTCCAACATGAGGACGAAGAACGAAACAAGTACAACCAAAAACTCTAAATGAAGAATAATCAGGGGCATACCCATACAACTTTTCGAAAGGAGAAACACCTGAAATATGAGAAGATGGAATTGTATTAATCAAACCTACAGCAGTAAGACCAGCTTCACCCTAAAACTCACTAGGAACAGAAGAAGACAACAAGAGAGAACGAGCAGTTTCAATAATGTGCCTATGTTTTCTTTCAGCAACACCATTCTGCTCAGGAGTATCTGTATACGAAGTTTGGTGAATAGTTTCATCTAAGGCAAGTAACTCAACAAATTTATTAAAAGTGTATTTCCCACCCAAATTACACCTAAAACATTTGATAACAACAGAATGTTGGGTTTTGACAAGAGCTCGAAAGGCTGTATATATCTCAAAGAATTCAGAACGATGTTTCATTAAATAAATTCAACAATAACAAGTATGATCATCAATAAAAGAAACATAATATTGAGACCTTCCTTTTATGGCAACAGGAGAAGGTCCTCATACATCAGAATGAATCAAATCAAATGGAGAAGAAGAAACAGAAATACTTCGATTAAAAGGTAAAGCTGAAAATTTTGCCAGTTTACATCCACTACAATCAAAAATATCACAAGTTTTCAAATTTCCTAAAGCCCCTGTGGATGCCAAAAATCTCAAACGAGAAGACGAAACATGACCTAAACGAGAATGCCATAAATAAAACCTAGAAGAAGGACTCAAACGAAAAGAAGATAAATCAACACTAGTAGCAGCAGCAACAACTGACACTTTTAACTCATCCAAAATATATACTCCCCCCTTTCTACGGCCTGTCCCAATCAGCTTCTAAGACTGCAGATCCTGCACATAACAAGAAGAAGAGGAAAAGGTGACTAAATTTTCAGAATCACATAACTGACCAACAGAAGCAAGATTTAATGTGAGTTTTGGAATATGATAAACATTAGGGAGAGACAAGTGAGGTGTGACAAAAGAACCAACACCTGTTAAAGGCATAGGAGTGCCATCAGCAGTCATAACATGAATAGAAGATGAAGGAGATACATAAGCAAAAGATGAAGAATCTGGAGACATATGATGTGAGGCACCAGAATCCAAGACCCATACAGAATGTGACATACCTGGAGAACTATGAGGCAACTGACCTCCTGAAGAAGAAACAGACATAGCTTGTGGCTGTAAGGAGAGAAACTTTTGAAATTGCTCAGCCAAGGTACTGGAATCGGTGAAAGGACTTGATGAAACTACTGCTGCAGTATTAGACTGTGGTGGTTTGTAATCCTGAGGTGGTCTAGGAGCATTAGATTGTGATTGGTTGCTAGACTTCCAAGCTTGAGAATGCTGCTGCGATTGATTCTGCCGTCTTAACTTAGGACATTGAGCCTTCCAATGACCTTTCTGTTTACAGAAACTGCACTCCTCGAAGGTAGGCCTTGTGTAAGGTTTATTCTGATTATGAGAGAATAGTTTAGAAGGTACTACTAGCACAGAAGGATCAGAAGTAGAAAGAATTTCCTTGTCAGAATAAGACTTAAGACGTATCTCTTCAGCAAATAACTCACTGACAACTGAGTCAACAGAAGGAAGTGATGAACGATACAAAATTGAACCTATAAGTCCTTTAAAATCACTACGAAGTGCCATTAAAAATTGTACCAATCGTTGTTGCTCTCTACGAGCAATATAGGCACCACATGCCTTTAATTCAGTCGATTCTGTAAGAGTCAATTGATCCCAAAGATCTGTCATAGCAGAATAAAACTCATGAATACTCATATTTTTCTGCTGAAGAGCTCGTATGTCATGCTCCAATTGATACTGTTTTGCAAAATTTGATTGAGTGAATAACCTTTACAGATGATCCCAAACCTCCTTTGCTGTCTCATACTTTGTCAACTGCGTACCTATAGAATGTTCAACAGAATTGTTGGTCCAAATAATAATTTTTGCATTGTCTACTTCCTAGACATCTATTAAATCAGCATAACCCACATCAGTATTCTTAGGTTTCACAAAAGTTCCACTAACATATCCCCATAGCTTTTTACCCTTAAGAAAATTTTTCATCACATAATTCCAATACGAATAATTCTTTCCATCCAACCTCACACTCACAGACTGAAGCGAATCGTCTCTTGCCATAGCCATAATCAACAAACAAAGAAAACTAGATTGCAAAAAACGGAAAAAATACCAGATTGCAAAAACGGAACAAATACCAGATTACAAAAAAATGGAACAAATACCAGATTGCTTAAACGAAACAAATACCTTCTCAAAAAGTTAGATCCGCGTAAACTGTGTTTGAGACTAAGCCTTGTCCCATGAAATTTTGCTCTGATACCATGTTGAACAATCTAAAGAAATACAAGAGATAAGAAAAGAGGAGGTTAGAGTTTTATTGATACTGCATAATTCAATTGAAATACAAGAAAGTAAGTTAACCTAAATACAAAGAGACTATATATAAGCTAAACAAGGCAGGGAAAGTAAAGGACTATTCTACCCTTAATGAACAAAATAACCCTATATTTCTTAACAGAAATAATGGTTCCACTTTGTTTGTTATTAGAGTATTTTAGAGTCCTACTAAGGGGGTGGGTGCTCCTTGGCTTGTTGGGTTTGAATAATTGTCACCTTCATCTTATGAGTTAAGCCCAATGTTTTAGATGACATCTAGTATGATGCAGCCATGTCATAATTTCTCCTCATAGACTTCCTGCACAGTACAGTTCAGAGAAATCACAGGTTATATAAGTTTTTTTGGCCTCCACAAGATAGATGATTATTCGTAAATTCCATCTTGGTGGGTGCATGTATTCTTTTTTATGCGTGATAGCTTAACCATTAAATATTCAATCAACGGTACTGTATTATTGTTCATGTGGGCATGTGTCATTTACCATGAGGCTAGGTAGCACAGTTGCACGTGAACTTTAATATGTTAATGTTGCTGGCATTTTATGAGTGAGCATGCTACTATTTTGGTTTCCTTGTTCTGAAGGCAGCCTCCCAAGAGTAATAAAAGGGAGCTGCCTGCACTTTGTTGGAGCATTTAAGATTTTTTGCCTTACAAAAGCTCTCTCTTTGTGTTGCACTTGTCAATAATCCTCAGTTTTTTGCAATTATCTTCATTTTTGTTGATATCAGTGGATAAATTGAAAATAGAGCTAAAAGAAAGGTACTACATAAATAATGCATTTTTCAGATTGAATTTAGGGACATGATCCATTTATGCCCAATGCAAGAATTAGAATCTTTTGCACCCTTCGATAAGTTTCTTTCTTCCCTAATTAACAATGTATCAAACCGTTGTATTAAGAATCATTAGGCCGCGAATTAATGCGTATTACTTCTCTGTTAACTTGATACCTTGTTTCCATGACATACAAAGTAAATGCCATTTCTAACCGACAGTTTGAGACAAATCCTATTCTTACACCAGGTTTTAATGCATATTGTCCCTTCTATTATTTTGCATAACATATATGATTTGTGTTTGTGAAATTGGTAATATGATCAAGAGGGATCTATTATAAGTGGGCCTGTATGTGATTTCTACATGAAATCATAGATGCGCGTTTGCAGATCATACGGACATAGCAGTCTTCATTAGTCTATATATAATGGATCCAGCCAATGTTATGCCGAAGGATTTGTTATAATGTTCGTATCTCACATAGATCATTTGTATATGACTAACCAAAACATGTGTTATTTTCCAGTTCCAAGGAATTTTAGGTTACTAGAAGAGCTCGAGAGAGGAGAAAAGGGAATTGGGGATGGAACTGTCAGCTATGGAATGGATGTTGCTGATGATGTATACATGCAGTCATGGACTGGGACAATAATTGGTCCTCCTAATGTTGGTCTTCTTTTCTCCATCTTTCCTTTGATGTCAAGTTTTTTATTCTGTGTAAAATTTTTTATATATCAACTGCACTCCCTACCATGTTGATTTGCTTTTAATCTTTAAAAGGTTAGTGATGTTTTGATGGGCCTCAGGCCCATCTTCAGTGTTGGAATGGTTTTGATTTTGTATTTGTAGTTAGTATACTCTTTAGATTCCTGATTGCAATGAGTGAGAGATTCAAAATTTTGTGCTTTGGGTGAATCAGATACAAACACTAGAGACTGAAGTCTAAAGTCACGTGTAAACCTGATAGGGACTGATGGACTGTTATGGTGAAATGCAATATATGTGACTACTGAAATACTTAGGTTTGGAAACTAAATCAGTCTGGTCGGTGGACCACCCATCCAAATGATTGCCATCCTTTCAAGTTTGGTGGTGTAAAACTGCTTCATTTTATAATTCCTAGCAAATGAAGATATTGGTTTGATGGCACTTTGAAGAGTCAGCCTTTTGTTTCTGAAATCAGAATTCCTAGTTTGTTTGCTCAATTGTACCTGAGGGCACCATTTTTTCTTACCACTGCTATGAATTAGCAATCACAGATGATAATGTCGCCTTCCTGATAACTTGGTAATAGTCCACTTTCGCCATACCCCTTAGATGGTATTGTTTTGCTCTCTAATATTATCTTATTTCACTACCACAGTCATTTATGCTGGCAGTACTGTGTTCAAAACTGCTGACTGAATTTTTACTCCCTCTCTATTTTCTTAAATGTTGTCATTTTTTGATTTTCGATTACCTTCCTGTTTTTCATGATTTCTTTAGATAGTATATTAACTCAAGTCCTCTGTTTTTTTGTTAGGCATTTTGAGTGTGATTAGAATTACAAAACATATATGAAAGAAAAATTCATTTCCAATATATTATATTGATGTGGTTTTTTGCTATTAGTTTCTTTGATGTTTAAATTTCTTCCTTATAGCATTATTAATAAATGTATTAGTAACACAATAAAATTGTTTTCTTCCTGTTTGTCGATGCTACATGCCAGACTGTTCATGAAGGGCGCATCTATCAGTTGAAGTTATTCTGTGATAAAGATTATCCAGATAAGCCGCCAAGTGTAAGGTTCCAAACCCGGATAAACATGAGCTGCGTTAATCATGAAACTGGTGTGGTACGTGCTCTCTCTCAGACAAAAATTCTTTGGCATGATATGGTTTAAAATAGGCTCATGGTTGGCCAAATTGCCAGGTGGAACCAAGTCTTTTTTCCATGCTCACTGATTGGCAACGGGAGTATACAATGGAGGCTATATTAACTCAATTAAAGAAAGAAATGATGTCTCCACAAAATCGGAAACTAGCTCAGCCTGCAGGTGTGTCTATTTGAGTTCTGAGTTGCTGATTGTTCAAGTTTATCTGTATTTCTTCAACGTTTTAACTTTACGCAGACATACATTAATAAAATCATTCATTCTACACTATGTCAGTCAACTTTTGGCCTCAAAAGAGTATGGATTTGTGTAACATGAGTGCCGGATAATAGGAAACTGGACAATTTCATGGAAATGGGAAGAGTTTCTATATAAGTTTTTCTAGCGAGGCAAAAGCAGGCCACTAGCAAATGGTTAGAATAAGCTTTTAAATACTCTCCTTTGTCATGGCCCATCTAACGAAGAACAAGATTCATGTAATGAGATAGGATTTTTGTAAGAAAGTTCTTGGGGAATGGAACTTGCTATTTTTTTCATTGTCTACATTTGAATCTGCAAATACAAAATATCTGAACTTCATGATGTGGACCATAATTATTTTTGTATAAATGGTCTGTTGGGGGTGCTTCGTATGGTATCATGGCCTATATATCTTGGACACAAATGTCGCGATGTTGGGATGGTGGAGCACACCTGAGTTTTTCTCAGTAGAGTTAATGTATTGGTTGCTATTTCTTTGATTTGTTATTAATGAGTATGAAGTCACTCATAGTAGAATGCTCAATTTTTTTCTCAGGCAATGAAGAGGGGAGGATGGATCAGAAGGGGTTCGTACTGAGGTGTTGTATTCTGTAATTTTTGAGGAGCGTTGAACATGATACTGTGTATAGATGTTAGCATATGACAACTCCATTCCCTGCTTAGTTGTTCAATGTATATGCTTGTATTTGAGAATGAGACCTTATTAGCTAGATCATCCTCAATCTTGGGATGGATTGCTGGTTTATGTTTATTGTTTACTTTCAATGTTTTTGAATAAATTGGACCCAATTTTCAATTTTTCGGTTATATATTGTAAGTTATAATTCTTTTAGTTATTGTTTGGCGTATTTTGAATTGTGGGAGTGCTAGACTTGATCTGCTTGAACAAGCGTGAGTTGAGTTTCCTTAATCGTGACTGTTCAGTTGATTAAAAATATATTTATCTGTGAGAGCCATGGCAAGGCATTGAGTTGTCAAAAAAAAAAATGAAACAAAATATTATGTAGAAAGAAAGGTAACATGTTGAAAACTTTGTTGTTTATAAGGAGCCAGCTTAGCAATAACTTAGGAATGACACAAAAATGAAACAAATTCCAAAATACACTTCACTTGACCCCTAAGACTATCCTTTTTTAGAAGAAACAACAGTGCATGAACCTCCTCTTAGGTGGTGGTGGTGTATGGACATTGACGCTCGATTTTCAAATTCTTACGTTTGCTTGATACACGCAGCACAATCATGTAAATAGACACCCAAGACACAAAAATCACGAATATTAAATAGAAATGGAAAAATTTCAATCACGCCCCCTTTAGTTTCTAAATTTTCAATGACACATTTTCTAGTTTAATTTAAACATGACTAACACTCCCTATCATTAAACTACCATTTTTAACAAAAATAATTCATCTAAAATACCAAAAATACCCCTACATAACCTCAAGTAATTTTTCTACATAAAATTTTATTAAAATTCGAGTTGTTAAAATTTTTAAAAAAAAATTGTAAACAACAATTTTAGTAATACTAATTTGTTATTTACTAACTCGTGAATTTTAAAAAAAAATTCGAACCTATTAAAATTTATTTTTTACATATTAAAATTTGAGCCTATTTGAATTTTACCCTAGTTATTAGTGCCGATTAAAATTCTCTTTGGAGTCGATTAAAATTTATATTTTTTTACTTATTAAAATTCGTGTCAATTAAGATTCGATTTATTAAAATTTAAGTCAATTAAAATTCAAATATTTTTATATATTAAAATTTGGGTTGATTAAAATTCAATGCGAATTGATTAAAATTTGATTTGAGTCGATTAATAATAATTTTTAATTGGCTCAAACAAAATTTTAATTAGCCCAAATTTTAATACATAAAAAAATATAATTTTTAATTGGCACAAATTTTAATATGTAAAAAAATAAATTTTAATTAATTTGAATCGAATTTTAATTGGTTCGAATTTAATTACGTAAAAAAAATTAGAAAACAGAGGAGGTCTCATTGAAAAAATACTTATCTAGAGGGGATCTCATTAAAGATATGCTTATCTAGAGAGGGTGTGGATGAAGTTTGTTCTCAAATATATCATAGTCAATTTAGTAAAATTGTATTCTACTTAATATTTTTAATCTGACAGGGGGTGTCATTGAAGATTCACAAAGTAGAGGGGGTGTGGTTGAAATTTTTCCAATAGAAATTTAGATTGTACCTTTTTTTAAATGCTATTTAGTCTTTTAGAATAGTAGACTATTAGCGTGTTATTGACGCTTTTTAAGCATTTTTGTTTCGTAATGTCAGCATTGAGATACAAAAAGATCTACTTAGATTCAACGTTTTAAACTTGTGATGGATTCGTTTAAAAATAAATGATTTTTAAACTCTGCCATCCCTGTTTCGTGTAGAGAAGTTTTCGTATATTGAATACAACTTTTGGTTGTCAGCTGTGGTTGCTTCCGCGATGAACTTTGGTTCAATGCAATTACACACTTACAAGATTGCACAGGATACTCTAAGCTAAATATTTTATGTAACTAGTTTTGATAATTCTAGAAGAAAAAAAACCTCAAATTCAACATCAAATTAGCTGATTGAAACTTAATTTTCTAGGATTCACGTGGTAATAAAGGAAAAAAATAATAATAATATTTTTTTTACGATTTTATCTGGTGACATGAATGATGGATTATAGCTGTGGAATTAATAGCGAGTCCCAACTAATAATAGGATTCATTGTCAATCTAATGACAAAAAATTATAAAGTTGTCAAATAAAGTCACTAAATAAGGTCAATGTAATATTAATTTTTTTATCGTAATCTTAAAAAACTTAAATCAAACATATATTTTGTGAGTAATGTCTAATTCATAGAAAAATAATATTATAAGAGTATCAATGACGAAACAATATAATCTGTCAAATAATCTATGAATTTGGAAGTTTTAGAATTTTTCATTTAATTTAAAAATTAAGAAAATTAGTTATAATATCAATAAAAAAAAGATATATTAGAAAAACTTCAATACGAATACTAAACAATTAATATGCATCTAAAAAAAATTATATTAAATAATTAACATTATTATTAAAAAAAATTTCAATTAAATTTATCGCTTTAAGCCTCAAAACATATTATGCCACCCCTGTGTATATCTTATCTAGTCTATATTTATTGATAAATTTATGGCAAACCAATACAAGCACAGCATTTGACTACTTGATCTCTCGTCTCGTCGACATAACTTTTTTTTTAAAAGAACACAATAGTGAATGAATTGACTAAATCATGTTAAATTTTTTTTTTTATATTAACTATATTTTGAATATAATTAATTTTTTAATACCAAGGATGGAATTACGTCTGGAAAACCTTCTTGGACCCCATGTGAAGTCACTATTCTGTGACTTCATTTTGGAGGGAAAGACGCAGTTATTCTGAGGACTCTATACAGGAATGGCAAGCTGTCAATTGTGTTACTCTAAGGAAACCCAAAATAGAATTAAAAAAAAAGCATTTCAATCATGTTTGGGCACTACACCAGAACATCGCATAATAAACACATCAGAAACACTATAAGAACACACCATTGTGAATCCAAAATACACAAAAGCTGTAAAGCAGTTTCAACTTTTCCATCTTTTCAAATCCCTTCCTACCTTTCTTAGCAACCCAACCCCCCCCCCCCCCCCCGCCCACCAGGTTCCTCTATAGGACCCACATCTCTCTCTCTATACCCATTTGGGAATTAGAACAAAGGGCATGGCCATGGGTTCATCTTCAAACAGCACTGAATGTGTGGGTATGTGAGTTTTCTTTCTCAGTGGGTCAAAATACACTTTGACCACCTCGAGTATCATATTTCTCAAATTACACTTTCAACTATTTTATTGGTTTTACATCGCCTAATGATTAACACTTGTTACAAATTTACTAAAACGTTATTTCATTTTGCCCTCAAACTATGAAATTTTGCTCTATTTTGTCTTGACAAGTTAATAATTTATGTTCAAAAAGAAAATGGACACTTAGGTTCTTAGTAATACGAGATCAATTCAAGTGGTTAAGAGAGAAATATGAAAAATTCAATACAGACAAACTAAAAACGAGTACATAGTTAGGGTGCTCCAAAGTGTAATTAGTCCTTCTCAGAATTTTGTGGTTTATATGTGGAGAATGTGATGCATACAGTTCTTGAAAAGTTATTTGATATGCGTATGGAAAAATTTGCATGCAGGAGTAGATACTGAACCAACCGCCCTCCAAAAGCATGTTATGTTCTTTGATCAGAACAAAGACGGAATTCTTTATCCTTGGGAAACCTATCAAGGTTTTTCTCTCCCCTAAAAGTTTTTTTTTCTATTTTTTTTTTTTTTGTTTTTTCGGTTGAAATGAACTCTATATATATCATGAAAATTTTGATGACGTTTCTAATTGGGTGTTTTTATTTATTGTTTGTTTTGTTTTGGGTTAATCAGGTGGTCGTGCAATTGGATTTGGCATTCTTAGGTCTACCGCGCTCGCCATTTTCGTCCACCTTTTTCTCAGTGGCAAAACTAGACCTGTAATCTCTCTCTCTCTCTCAACCCTAACCTAACTCTAAGTATATAATTTTTAACCTTAACTCTGACCCTAACCTTACCTCGGGTTGGGGAACTCAATCCAAACACTGCCCGAGTTTAATTCGGGCAAGCTCGAGTTGATGATTTCGAATTATTTTACGAGTTTAATTTGAGTAGAGCTCAAAATAGGCTTGCTACTCTAAACCTAATACATATATTACATAATATTCACCTAAATTAACAACCAATAATTTCAACTAAGTTTTTAAATGGAGAAGTTAAGTGAACGAGAGAGACAAAGAAAACGAGAGAGACAGAGAATGATAGAACAAAAATGAAAAACCAGTGCTAATACTATTTTTTTTTTTAATTTGCCGGGTTCGGGTTGAACTCGGATTCACGAGACCTTAACCCGAGCCCAACTCAAATTGAATTCGGATTGGAGTTTCTTGACCCAAGCCCAACCCACCAACCCAAGTATTAAAAACCCTTGCCCAAGCCCTAATGTTTTTAGGTTGGGCTCGGGTTGAAATTTGGTTCCCAACTCAAGTTGCACTCCTACTAGCGATAGACCCATAATTGAAGACAGTTTATAACTTAAAAAAAATTTAATTAAAAAGTTAATCCCAATTAAATAATCAATCAAAATAGTTATAAAAGAAAAGAAAACCTAAAATTGAGAGCTATTAGCATCATAATTAGTTCTCAAAGAAGGCAATTTGAAAGTTCATATGGCCAAATAATCTACAAAAATAACATTCAACGATTAGTAAGAAACACGAAAGTGTAAAAATTTTTCAACCTGTTTAAACAAATTGTTGATGTTTTGCGATGAATTAAACTTCGTAAGACTTATAGTTTTTTTCCACTTGAAATGATGATTTGATGCATAGACTTGTGGAAAGTTTTTATGTTTACAATGTAGGTAACTATAGAATGAAATATTTTGTTTTGTATGCTGCAGGGAAAATTCCCTTCTCTACTCTTCCCAATAGAAATTAAAAACATCCAGAGAGCCAAGCATGGGAGTGACTCTGGTACATATGACACAGAAGGAAGGTATACTTGGTGCACTCAACAAATAATTCAATTATGTGTAATGTATTGGCCCCCTTAAGAAAATCACAACGATTTTGACATAATGGTAAAAATATAAAAAGATTAGACATAAGTCGTAAAAAAAGTCGTCGGATCTAATCGATATAAGCCCTTGTTAGACTTTGAAAAGTCACGAGCTTAAGCATGCCGCTCTGTCTTATTATATAAATTAATTTGTTTGTTATTCTTAGGTTGCGCTAAACTTTGTTATTCTTACATGGATTTTAATTTTACTTTCTTGGAAGGTTTGTTCCATCAAAATTTGAGGAGATTTTCAGCAAGCATGCATGCACCAATTCAGATTATTTAACAGCACAAGAACTAAAGGAAATGCGACAGGCAAACAGGGTTCCCAAGGACTGTTTCGGAAAGTCTGTTATTTTTTTTAATTTCAAAATTGTACAGTTTAATAACGGCTAATTTTCGTTCAAAGCTATTTAGCAAAGTGAAAATTTTGGAATGAACAGGATTCAAAGCTTCTTTGAGTGGAAGCTTTTATATGATATTGGCAAGGACAAGAACGGTTTGCTGCACAAAGATACGATTAGAGGTGTTTACGATGGAAGCTTGTTTGAGAAATTGGCGAAGGAGAAAGCTTCGTCTGGGAAATACGCGTAAAGTCCTTAATTTGCAATAATCGACTCCATTACATTTTGTGCTTATGTTTTATTTTTATATACTTGTATATTAGTTGTGTACTCAGAAGAAACAAAGAAAAGTCTTACCATGACAATACTTTTTTGGTGCAGTGTTACTCCAGCGTACAAAGGGACAACTTAGTACCGTCGTATTGTGTGATTGCAGCTCGCTGGTGTTCTTGACTATAAACTTGCATTTGTATGGATGGGCATTGGTAAAACCTTGTGTAATATTTGTTAATAATTGAAAGATAAATGTACTAGATTGAACAATATTCATTTGTAAACAAATTGGGATTGTCGTCTCATCAGGCAAAATGACTATTCATGTCCTTATGATTTTTTACCCTATAGCTTTGAATGTGAATATGGTATAAAATTCTTGAATGTTTTCGATCAATTTCTTAGCACAATGGTTTAGTAGGAGTTTATAGCACTATGGAGCTGTATTTTATATTAATTATTCTCAAGTTCATTTCTGATTATTGCACCAACTACATCGAGTCTAAATTGTATTTAGAACTGTTAATTAACTTGTCATGTTATATTAGAGTTATGCATTATCAGATCATATCTTGTTTACGTTAATCGTGAATTACAAACCTTAAGAATGTATCTTTGTATCTCTTAACTGATTCAAATAGATATAGGTCTTTCGTAATTTAAATTTTTTTTATTCAACTTTTAGTAAAACCAAATCAAAATCATTTGATTGTAAAAATAATTCAAATAACTATATCAAGAAATAAAAACAAACATATATTTTTCATAGGCAAAATTTTTTTTGTTCTCCAAATTATGTGGTTTGTGTCATTTTGATTCTCAATAGTTCAATTTAGTTCCTCAAGCATTTAATTTGTGCCATTCTGGTTCAATCGAAAACAATAGTTCAAATTGACTAATGAAGATGATTCGGTGCATTTCACATGACCACATTTGAAGGGCATTTTTTGGAAACGTAAGTGTTAAACGGTAAAAATAAATAAATCTGTTGTTCAATGAAAATTTTTGAGTAAGGTTCATAACCCAGGTCCCGAGCACATTCGTTATATTACAAAATTTTACGTATAGCCACGATTAATTTTAGAGTTAGTTAACTAGACCAAAGACATGGGTCTAATTACTATCCCTGAAATGTAGTTATACCATTATACACATCTAAAAAAAAAAATGGACTTGTGTGCTGGAAGTTTAAACAATGACCAGCTACCCCACATGCTAAAAATAAGAAAACAGAAAGGCCCGAGAGATCTTTTACAAAGGTAAAGGGCTGACGATTATAAAAAAGGCAATTCCTTTAGCAAATAAATGTGAAAAACCCACTAACTAAGAATTGGTTACTAATGGAGGAAATGCTAGTTGCTAGCATGTTGAAGGAAAGCCAGCTGCCCCTACGTGCAAACAAAAAATCCTCTATAAATGGTAAAATGGAGTGCACAAATTGGGCATCGTGTGAAGTAGCTTCGCAGCCCACTAAAGTGGCAGTTTCTAGAAAATTTTCTATAAATACCAGGAGGGGAGAGGAGAAAAAGGAGAGATCTGAAGAGGAGAGTTTAGACAGTTCACAAAGCAAAAAAAAAAAAAGAAGGAAGAAGAAAAAAGTTTGAAGAACAAAGTGGTTGTCGAAGGCAAAAAAAAAAAAAATTTGAAGCAATTCTGCAAGTATAAACTCTAATTTCTTTCCCTACTCTTGGATTGAATCTCTTAAATCTTTGATTGTAGTGAATGGGTTCAAAACCACAACAATCTGAAGCAATTGCGGCTATACCGAATCTCTCCGAAGTTGCAGATTATAGGAGTTTTTAACTACTTCGAAGCATTGCATTGCAACTACCACCAAGTGTTTCTGAGAGTGGCAGTAGAGTTCTCTTCAAATGAAAGACCAAAGGAGTTCATAATTCCTCCAGATTTTGCTGCAATACCCAAGAAAAACATCCACATATTGGAGTATTTGGCTCCTTGGAGACCATGTTGTCGCTCAATAAGAGTTTTCGACTCTTTCGGAACCATTGCGCCAACGCGAAAATGCTTGTTTTCTGTCCACTTTAGCATTGCTCATTGGGCGTCTTCCAATTCCTCCGTTGCGGTGTATAGACAAAAGTGTTTCAGAATCAGCAAGAGTCTTGCAGCACTCTTTTAATTCCGATGCCTTCTGTCGAAGACGACCATTTCCTTTAAATGGTGTTTCCAACTCCCCTCTCAAGAGTTTTTAGACTCTTTTAGTGGAGTTTCCATTTCCATTCAAAGGAGTCTTATGAAAGAGTTTCTAACTCTTGAAAATAAATTTGGAGTCTTTGACTCCTTAAGAAAAATTAAGGGCCAAATCGGAAGAGCGTGCAAAATTCTGCTACATTAAATTTCCCAAAAATTGTCAAAAAGAGTCTTGGGACTATATTTTAATTTTAATTTTGATGCCTTTCGCCGAAGTCTACCAGTTCTTTTGAAAGGAGGTTTCCAACTCCTATTTTGGTTCTGGTTTTGCTAATACCATAGGCAAGAGTTTCTAACTCTTAAAGAACGAATATGGAGTCTTTGACTCCGTAACAAACTGTCTGAAGTTTATCTACTAGTTTTATAAAAATTTTAATCTTCGACTTTAGCGGAGTTTTAAACTCCCTCTCACCTCCCCATTTGGTTTGTTCCGAACTTTCTCTAACGCTCACTGCTAAAATACTTCTTTTCTGCTCGGTTTAGTACCTCCCAGCTGCTTTATGATCTAAAGATCGTGCACTTGAAGTGTGTAAGAAAAAGAAAGAAATGGCTATACAAAAAGGAGTTGCAAGAAAACAGATTTTCTACTGGGGTAGTGAGAGCCTTCGGCCCATTTTCGGCAAAAGTCAAGAGTCTTAGACTCTGGACAAGTATCTTGGAGTTTTTAACTCCTATCATATTGCATAACAACACAAAGCCTCAGGGCCTCCAAAATTGCATGAAAATCGAAACAAAAAGTCTTTGACTTTTTTTTGGGTTTTAAACTCCTACAAATTAAATGGCACAAATATTAAATAAAAGAGTTAGTTTCTAACTCTTTACTAATTTTTAGATTTTTAAACTCACTCAATGATGCTTATGAAAAAGTCTTGAACCCTTAATAAATTTTTGGAGTTTCTAACTCTACCAATTTTTAGAGTTTTAAACTCATGTTTATGAAAAGAGTCTTGGACTCTTAATAAATTTTTTAAGTTTCTAACTCTTTGATGTATATGAAGAGAGCTGTGAATTCTTAATAACTTTTTGGAATTTCTAACT